CCATATGCTTCACCCATTTCTGGCTGTTCCCTTTGCATGGACATTGAGTGCCTCTTGGCATTGGCAGGTCAGTATAAACCCCCGACAAGGCTCCCCTTTTGGGGGCTGCCTTCAGTCATTATGAGGCACCACGAAACTGTAGAGCAGGGCTCATTACTGGCTTGAAGCAGGGCATGTCTCTTTCATGCTGCCTTCACACACACACACACACACACACACACAGGCACACTGCAGAGTTAGTAAAGTACAGCAGAAAACTTGCTTACCAGGAGAGCGAAGAACTAGAGCTCCAAGCATCCTTACCTTGTCTTGAAGATCCCAGATGAGCTCCCAAAATGAAAGGCTGCTGCTGCAAGCTGTGCTATGCTGGGATTCATGACCTCCAGAGGAGAGGATTTCGATCCAGAATCAGATACAAGGCTTAACTGCTTGGAGCTTTTTGTGTAGTAAAGTTTTTTCTGAGCTTTGTGATCTTTGGCAAGATGCCTGACCCCTTTGTGCTTCAGCGTCTGAGCTGTGTGATCTTAAGCAGGTTGCCTAACTTCTCTGAGCTTCCATATCTGAGAAGTATGATCTTATGCAAGTTACCTGACCTCTCTGTGCTTCCACTTACAAACTGTGTGATCTTAGAAAAGATGCCTGGCCTCTCTGTGCTTCCATATCTGAGCTTTGTGATCTTAGGTAAGTTGTGTAACCTCTCTGTTCTTCTACTTCTGAGCTGTGTGATCTTAAGCAAGTTGCCTAACTTCTCTCCGCTTCAATATTTGAGCTTTGTGATCTAAGGCAAATTTCCATCATCTCTGTGCCTCCAGTTTTGAGTTGTGTGATCTTAGCCAAATTGCCTGACCTCTCTGTGCTTCCACATTTGAGCTGTACAATCTTAGGCAACTTGCCTAACATCTCTATGCTTCCACTTTTGAACTTAGTGATCTGAGACATGTTGCCAAACCTTCCCGTGCTTCCACATCTGAGCTGTGTGATCTTAGGCAAGTTGTGCAACCTCTCTGTGCTTCCATATCTGAACTGTGTGATCTTAAGCTAGTTTCAGAACATCTTTGCATTTCCACTTCTTAATTCTGTAAACTTAGGTAAGTTTCCTTGTTCTCTGTGCTTTCACTTAGGAGCTGTTTGTCTTAGACAAGTTGCCTGACCTCTCTGTGCTTCCTATTCTGAGCTGTATGATCAGACAAGTTGCCTGATCTCTCTGTTCTTTGAGTTCTGAGCTGTGTGGTCTTAGGCAAGTTGCATAACCTCTCAGTGTTTCCATATCTGATCTGTGTGATCTAAGGCAAGTTGCTGAACCTCTCTGTGCTTCCACATCTGTCTGTGTGAACTCATGCAAGTTGTGTAAATTCTCTGTGCATCCATATCTGAGCTGTGTGATCTTAAACAAGTTGAATAACCTCTCTGTGCATCCATATGTGAGCTTTGTGATCTTCGTAAAGTTGCCTAACTTCTCTGTGCTTCGCTTAAGCTCTGTGATATTAGGCAAGTTGCCTGAGCTCTCTAGCTTCCACTTCTAAGCTGTATGAAATTAGGCAAGTTGCATGACCTATCCGTGCTTTCACATGACCTGTATGAACTCAGGCAAGTTTGCAAATTCTCTGTTTTCATACTTGAACTGTGTTATCTTGACAAGTTGCCTAACCATTCTCTGCTTCCATTTCTGAGCTGTATTATTTTAGGCAAGTTGCCTGTTCTCTGTGCTTCCCTGTCTGTGCTGTGTGATCTTAGGCAAGTAGCCTGACCTCTCTTTGCTCCCATTTCTGACCTGTGTGATAATAGGCAAGTTGCCTGACATCTCTGTGATTCCATTGAGCCTTTGAAATTAGGCAAGTTACCTAACCTGTTTGTGCTTCCACATGAGCTGTGTGATCTTGGGTAAGTTTCTGAATCTCTCTGTGCTTCTATATTTGTGGTGTGTGATATTAGGCAAGTTACCTAACCCTTCCCTGCTTCCATTTCTGAGATGTATTATTTCAGGCAAGTTGCCTGATCTTTGTGCTTTCACTTCTGAGCTTTGTGATCTTATGCAAGATGACTTTCCTCTCTGTGATTCCACATCTCAGCTGTGTGATCTTAGGCAAGTTACCTAACATCTCTGAGCTTCCATACCTGACATGTGTGATCTTAGGCAAGGTGCCTAACCTCTCTAATCTTACACTTACACTCCTGAGCTGTGTGATCTTATGCAAGTTGCCTGAATGTGCTGTGCTTCCACTTGAGCTATGTGAACTTGGGCAAGTTGCCTAAACTCTCTGTGATTCCACTTAAGCTGTGTGACATTAGGCAAGTTGCATGATCTCTCTGTGCTTCCACTTTTGAGCTTTGTGACCTTAGGCAAGTTGCCTGACATATCTGTCTTCCACTTGAGCTGTGTGTTCTCAGGCAGGTTGACTACATTCTCTCTCTGCCTCCATATCTGAGCTGTATGATATTAGGCAAGGTGCCTAACCATTCTGTGCTTTCACTTCTGAGCTGTGTTGTCTTAGGTAAGTTGCCTAACTTATCTGTTATTCCATTTCTGAGCTGTGTCAACTTAGGCAAGGTGTCTGTCCTCTCTGTGCTTCCACTTGTGAGCTATGTGATCTTAGGCAAGTTGCCAAAACTCTCTGTGCTGCCACTTCTGAGTTGTGGCATTTTAGGCAAGTTGCCTGACATCTCTGTGCTTCCACTTCTGATCTGTGTGATCATAGGCAAGTTGTGTGACATCTCCACGCTTCCACCCAACCTGTGTGATCTTAGGCAAGATGCCTGACCTCTCTGTGCATCCAATTGAGCTGTTAAACTTATGGAAGTTGCTTAACCTCTCTATTCTTCAATATCTGAGCTGTGTGATCTTTGGCAAGTTGCCTGACCTCTCTGTGCTTCCATTTCTGAGCTGTGTGATCTTAGACAAGATGCCTGACCACTATCTTCTTCCACATCTGTGCTGCTTCATCTTAGTCAAGTTGCCGAACCTCTGTGTTCATCCATATGTGAGTTGTGTGATCTTAGGCAAGTTATCTGATCTCTCTGTGCTTGCACTTAAAAGCTGTGTGATCTTAGGCAAGTTGCATAACCTCTCTGTGCTTCCACATCTGAGCTGTGTGATCTTAGAAATGTTGCCTAACCTCTCTGAGCTTTCATATATGAGATGTGCAATCTTAGACAAGTTGTCTCTCTTCTATAGGCTTCCACTTATCAGCTATGTGATCTTAGGCAAGTTGCCTGACGTCTCTGTTCTCCACTTTGAGCTCTGCGATATTAGGCAAGTTGTATGACTTCTCTGTGATTCCTCTTGAACTCTGTGAACTTAGGCAAGTTGCCTAACTGCTCTGTTTTTCATATCTTAGCTGTATGATCTTAGGCAAGTTGCCTGCTCTCTCAGTGCTTCCACTTCAGAACTTGTGATCTGAGGCAAGTTGTGTGACCTCTCTGTGCTTCCACTTCTGAGCTGTGTGACCTTAGTCAAGTTGCTTAACCTCTCTGAGCTTTCATATCTTAGATGTGTGATCTTAGGAAGTTTCCTAGCCTCTCTAGGCTTCCACTTCTGAGCTGTGTAATCTTTGGCAAGTTGACTGACCTCTCTGTGCTTTCAGTTGTGTGCTGTGTGATCTTAGGCAAGTGGCCTGACCTCTCTGTCCTTCCACTTCTCTACTTCTGAGTTGTGTGATCTTAGGCAAGTTGTGAAACTCTGTGCTTCCATTTCTGACCTGTGTGATCTTAGGCAAGTTGCCTGACCTCTCTGTGCTTCCATCCCTGCATGTGTAAATGGGCTTACAAACAGGACCTAGCTTAGAGGGTTCTTATGAGGATTTCAGTCAATTGTGAGTGTTCAGGACAGCACCTGGCACATAGTCAGTGCTCAAGTCTTTTAGTCCTGTTTCTCAATCTAGCCTGCTTCCTTTCCCCCTCTAATTTCCTAGTAATTACCCCCTGGGTAAGGTGGCAGGTGAATGGCTGCTAAGTCTTAACTTGACACTTTGCATGTGTGTAGAAAAGAAGGTTCCCAGCAGCCTAGGGAAGACTGCCTTTCTTCAAACACTATGCATGCTTGAGTGTGGCCAAAACCAGAGCAGGGTTAGTGTGCATGAGTGTTGCTCTGCTTCACAAGATCCCAGATAACTCACATTTCCTAATGGAAATGTACTCATAGCCCTTAGTGCTTGTTTGTGCTGTTGTAACTCTTGCCTGCTCTGTACTCATCTCTTCAAAGTGTTAATAAGTTATACATGTGGCTGATGCTGTCTTTTTTCCTTCTCCATGATGTAGTTTCCACTTGGTGGTTCTGAGGTTTCCTGGATCATGAGCTGGGGATTTGTTTGAGGAAGGGGCAGCACTGGAGGCTCAGTAAGGAGAGACTGTGGTCTATGAGCTAGTTGGGGGGGCAGAAAGAAAGCATTCTGCTCTAGTCTGACTTTTCTCCCCAAGCTCCCTCCCAACTGCAGCAGTCTGCTAACTCTTAGGTGAGATGACGGTTAACAGATTGTTAACATTTGTAGCCCAACATCCTACAAGGGAGAAGGACAAACAAGAGGGTTTTGGAGCTCTGCCTCACTTCCAACCCCACAGTTAACCTGTAAGGAAGATCCAGCCGCACTTGATGGTGTCCTGGTTGTCTGTTGTGATGGTGCTGCCCTCTGCTGTCACTTCAGGGTAGAGGAACCATTTAAAACACAGCCTGTTAGTGAGTGAATTTAGAATTTACTTCTCTGAAAGATTTTGGAGAGCTGGGCAGAAGCAAGACTTTCTATCCACAAGCTGCTGCCCAGGGCTTTTCCTTAGTCCCTCCCTAGCTTCTTATGCTCTTCCAGTGCTACCTAAAGCAGAGACTTGCTTGAGAAACTATTACATAGTCCTAGAAAGGTGTCTGGAAATGTCCCAGGATCAGGGAACCTCACCCACCTGAGAGTCCTTTCCTCAGAGCTGTGGGAAAGCATTTTCTCCTTTGATTAGGCCCCAGTTTTGGCTGACCAGGGAACCTTTTCCCTTGACCTCAACCATGCTCCAACTCAAGTTCAGTCGCATATGTCTCTTTGTTCCCGGCGCTGGATCAGCTCCTCATTGCTCAGTAGATAGTCATCAATGAACGTGAAGATTTCCTCGGGGGTGACAGGTTCCATGTAGCGTTCCCGGTCAATTCCCTGCTTGTCAATCAACACCATGTTGAAGTAGGAGCGAGTGAGGTGCTGAAATTGCCTAGAGAGATGAGCCCAGGGATGTATGAGACCTTGTCTGGACATCATCCCGCCAGACTCTAGTACTCTCTGATCTTTCACAGCTCCACTGATGGACTAATTCTTTCCCCACTGAATCACTTGGCCCCACCCCTTCCAGTACCTATCTCAAGCCCCTTTATTTTTCTCTGCTCACACCTTAGTCGTGCTGCCCCAACATCTCTAGCTCTGTTAAGCTGTCCCTTCTTCACCCCAGATGGAACAGCTTTCTTACTACCAAGCTGTGCTTGCCTCACAGGCCCCCTTATGCAGGGCTATCACATATAGCGATGCAGGCTGCACATAATAACTCCAGGGAGCACCAGTCATGGACACTATGCCGTGACCAGTGCTTCCCAGAGCTGGACAAGCATAGCCTGCACAACCAAACATGGCAGCCCTAAGGCTGATCAATATCACCTGGTCAACCTTCAGGTTGATCAATATCACCAAGTCTGCAGTCTCCTTCCTCTGCATGTTTTCCAGTCTCTCCTCTTGTTGCTGTTGTTTAGTCACTAAATTGTGTCTGACTTTTCTGTGACCCCATGAACTGTAGCCCACCAGGCTCTCCAGGCAAGAATACTGGAGTGGGTATCCATTCCTTTCTCCAGGGGATCTTCCCAAACCAGGGATTGAATCCACAGTCTCTTGCATCTCCTGCATAGGCAGTTGGATTCTTTACCACTGACTTTGCTACTGAACCACCAGGGAAGCCCCAGTCGTTACCTGGGACTGAATCTTTCTGTCCCTGAGATTAAGCCCTAGGGGAAAGTATTGTTTATGCAACAGAGAGGAGTGATGGCTTTATTGGTTCTCAGTATATGTGGGGGATTGGGAGGGTGATAACAGATAGATAATAAGAAATGTCAACTTCTACCACCTGTTCCCTATGGTATTCTCCTCCCCAAGGGTCAGATAGGTATGATTCAGATTTCAGTGCCTAAAGATGCTTTTTGCTCATTTGAAGACTGAAGGCAAAAGGATACAACCACCAGGCAACAGGATCAAAGGCTTATCTAAGTCATGTTTGAGTCTGTGTCTCAGCCCTGGCTGTGCTTCAGGGTCACCTGAGGTGCCTCATAAAAGCACAGTCCTGAGGTGGTTTGAGGTGGTCATCTGTATTTTCAACAACACCCTGCCATTTCATTCTGATGCCCTGCCACACTCTGATCTTACCTAATGCATCCAAAGAGTTCAAACACAAGCAATTCCCCAAGAGAATAGTGTTTGCTGATTTTCCCACAACTCTCTTGTGGCCAATGTCCTGCCTAAGGATTCTACCCACTCCTTTCCTGTTGCCCTCCAGTCTGGACCTGAGTTCCTCAATGATATTGGCTGACAGCTGTTGCTCCCGGATGCGCCCCACTTCCTGAGGTGGCTGCCCCACCAGCTCGATGATGGTCACGTGCCTCAGGTCCAGTCCACAAGTGGATTGCTGGGAGGGGAGAGAAGAAGGTTTTCCTGAATAGGCTGTCAAACCCAAACCTAAGGCTACTTAACTGATTCCTCCTGGGATCATGTCGAGGCAGTGTGGGAAAGAAGGGGCTTCTTCACAAACCATCACATGAGCGGGTCTACCCCCTCTTTCCTCTGTCATTCCTGAAGCACTTGCCCCAACATGCGTGTGTGCATGCTAAGTCGATTCAGACTTGTCCGACTCTTTGTCACCCTATGGACCATAACCTGCCAGGCTCCTCTGTCCATTGGATTCTCCAGGCAAGAATACTGGAGTGGGTTGCCACGCCCTTCTCCAGGGGATCTTCCTGACCCAGGGATCGAACCTGTATCTCTTATGTCTCCTGCATTGGCAAGTGGGTTCTTAACCACTAGTGCCTCCTGGGAAGCCTACTTACCCTAACAGTGTTTCCTCTATTCTAATGAAGTGTAGAGATTGGTTATATCATGTGGGATAGAAAAGAGAAATGTAATTGACAAATTACAGTAACATCATCCTTCCTTGCTTAGTTTTGAATAGATTTTTAAATATGTAAGTTATTTGGGGGGGTTACCAATTGTTCATTTACTGATATGTTTTAAATCCTTGTCTTGCTTTTGCTCTAGTGCTGCCTCTTCCTTCAGCCTACACCCCCTGTTCATTTTTTAAATTTAATTTATTTATTTTAATTAGAGGCTAATTACAATATTGTGGTGGTTTTTGCCATACATTGACATGGATTAGCCACAGGTACACTTATGTCCCCATATCCTGAACCTTCCTCCCACCGCCTTCCCCACCCCATCCCTCTGGGTTGTCCCAGAGCACTGGCTTTGAGTGCCCTGCTTCATGCATCGAACTTGCACTGGTCATCTGTTTTACGTATGGTAATATACATGTTTCAATGCTATTCTCTCATATTGTCCCACCCTCAGTTTCTCCCATATCATCTAAAAGTCTCTTGTTTGCATCTGTGTCTCTTTTGCTGTCTTGCATATAGGGTCATCATTACCGTCTTTCTAAATTCCGTATTATATACATTAATATACCATATTGGTGTTTCTCTTTCTGACTCACTTCACTCTGTATAATAAGCTCCAGTTTCATCCACCTCATTAGAACTTGATTCAAAAGCATTCTTTTTTATAGCTGAGTAATATTCCATTGTGTACATGTACTAAAGCTTCCTTATCTATTCATCTGCTGATGGTCATCTAGGTTGCTTCCATGCCCTAGCTATTGTAAACAGTGCTGCAATGAACATTGGGGTACATGTGTCTCTTTCAATTCTGGTTTCCTCAGTGTATATGCCCAGCAGTGGGATTGCTGGGTTGTATGGCAGTTCTATTTCCAGTTTTTTTTAAGGAATCTCCACATTGTTCTCCACAGTGGCTGTACTAGTTTACACTCCCTCCAACAATGTAAGAGGGTTCTCTTTACTCCACATCCTCTCCAGCATTTATTGTTAGTAGACTTTTTGATGACAGCCATTCTGACCAGCGTGAGATGATATCTCATTGTGGTTTTGATTTGCATTTCTCTGATAATGAGTGATGTTGAGCATCTTTACATGTTCTTTTTAAAATTGAGATACTAGTTGACGTATTAGTTTCAGGTGTACAATATAATGATTTGATATTGTCTAAATGATCATTGCAATAAGTCCAATTAACATTCATCACCACACAGTCACAACGTTTTTCTTACAATGAGAACTTTTAAGATCTATTTTCTTAGCAATTTTCAAATATATTATATAGCTATAGTCACCATGCTGTACATCACAGCCCCAGGACTTACTTATTTTATAAGTGGAAGCTACATAAGTTCTTTGTGTGTTAATCGCTCAGTCATGTCTGACTCTTTGTGACCCCATGGACTGTAGCCCACTGGGCTCCTCTGTCCATGGGATTTCCAAGGAAAGAATACTGGATTGGGTTGCCATTTCCTTCTCCAGGGGATCTTCTGGACCCAGAGATCAAACTCGTATTTCTTGCATCTCCTGCATTGGCGGGCAGATTCTTTATCATTGTGCCACCTGGGAAGCCTGTGTGCTCCTTACCATTAGGCTACATGGTCACAGCCTTTTCTTGGTCTCCAGAATTTCCCCAAAATAGTGTCAGTGCTCTTTCTGTGACCCTTTCTTGCCTTCCTCACACTAGGCAGTGCAGCCTGTAACCGTACCATGGTTTTTTGTCCTGCTTCGCCCAGCAGGGGTGCCTCTTAGCCAGTTACCTGGGGCAAGGTTGAAAGCAGCAGTGAGCACTGCTTGGTGCTCTACCCCTTGTTGAATCTTTGGGCTACTTCTCTAGACCTGGCTTCAAAGTTACAATCCTCCCTGGCTGGTTCCTCTTCTTGTTCCTGCTTTCTTTTAAAGCTGAAGTGTTGCTTTTGTCTGCCTTTTTTGAATCCCTGGAGGAACGGGGTCCTTTTTGGTTTAGACCCAGGGTCATTCTTTTGATATGGCTGCTTTTACCATGGCCTTCTGAATATTGACTTGGCAACTCATAAGAACTCAACCTTTAGAAACCCCCTAAATAGCTTCTTCTTTTACCTGGGTATCCAGACCCTTTCAGCTTCTCAGAATCTTGTCAGAGTACTTTGAATTCTCTTCAAGAACCTAGTCTATTCTTTATTTTTATTATTATATTATTTTTCTACATTTCAAATGAGGAGAAGGAGGTGACAGAGAATGAGATGGTTGGATGGCATCACTGACTCAATGGACATGAGTTTGAGAAAACTCAGGGAGATAGTGAAGGACAGGTATGCCTGGTGTGCTTCAGTCCATGGGGTTGCAAAGAGTTGGACTCAACTTAGTCAATGAAAACAACAAAAACAGTTGATTTACAATATTGTATAAGTTTTAGGTGTACAACATAGTGATAGAACCTAGCCTATTCTTTTTGAAAATCCCAATAGTCAGAACTACTCTGTCCTTTCTGCTTCTCCTTCCCCAACAGTGGCTTTAACTAGATATCTGGTAGAATGTTAAAAATCCTTATGCAATTCCCTCATTTTACTTTGCAATATCATGACACTTTTCCTTCTTGTCTGCTATTAGTAGTGGTTAAGAGCACAGATCCTTGAGTCAGATTACCTGGGTTTAATTGTGGCTCAGCCATTTATTAGCTAGTGACTTTGGGCAAATCACTAACCTCTTTATGCCTCAGTTTCTTTACCTGCAAAATGGGGATAGTAAGCGTACCTATTTTATAAGCGTTGTTGGGAGAATTAAATGAATATGTATAAAGCACATACTTGTATACCTAGTCCTTATACAGCCCTCACTGTCTAAATGTTTGTTAGTGTTATTATTCCTTGAAAACTTAAACATAACTATTCCCCACATTTACATTTGATCACAGGCCTTACAAGTTTTTCAGGAGTGCTTTGCCACACTGCCTTCTCATCCTTCATCAAGCCTCCTGCAACCCACCATGCCAATGACGTCACTGCCTTTTCAGTAAAAACACAGTTGTTTTAAAACTGTGCTAAATTTGTCTACAGCAAAACTAATCAAATGTTGTCTACAATCTAAGGAAGTAGCATTTGTGCTGTAGAAAGAGCAAGTCTTTGAGTGAGACGTAGTAAGAGAGTAACAGAGTGGGATTTTTGTTGTTGTTTGGCTGCTAAGCTGTGTCTGACTCTTTGTGAACCCATGAAATGTAGCCCACCAGGCTCCTCTGCCCATGGGATTCTCCAGACAAGAATACTGAACTGGGTTGCCATTTCCTCCTCCAGGGGATCTTCCCAACCCAGGGATTGAACCCATAGTTCCTGCATTGGCAGCTGGATTCTTTATCACTGTGCCACCAGGGAAACCCAGGGGAGTGGGATAGGGGAATGCAAAGGAGCTAAGCCTTGATTAGGGGAGTGGCTCTTACCTGTAGCATAGAGATTTGCATTTTATAATATCGGTTGGAGGGATCAGGGGCTGAGATGATGAGAAGTCGCCGTTTCTCATAGAACTGATCAAGAAGGCCAGCAGCTGAGTTGACATTGACATTAATCTTCATAGCTAGGGCAGAAGTACATGCCCAGTCAGAGTATGGCCTGTCCCTTCATCCCAGAATGGATAACAACATTTTGAGGCTTTCAGGTTAAACTTTTTTGGTTGTTTCTCCCTTTCCTTGGGGGGAAATCCTAAAAGAACACTTGGAGATTTTAAATCCTTTTTATTGGAGGTGGAGTATGCTAGAGGGGAACATTGGCTCTTGAAATATCCAGAATCCCCCATTCCCACATCAGACACATTGCTTTTGGTCCCTGAGCCATAGACATTGGGAGACCCCTCAAAGAAGCCCTGATCATTATGTCCACTCTCCCCATTCCCTAGTTTTACTCACGAACACAGATGGGTGGTGATCCTGACCACTGGCGGCTGGACTGGCAGACCCGTGAGGGGGTCCCTTGGCGCTCATACCCTCCATCACAGTGGTATTCACAGGTGGCACCATAATTGTCCCCCACTGAGGTGCAAGTGAGGTAGCCATGCTGTGGTGGTTTCAGAGTTGGGCAGCGTCTCACTGTCAGGGAGAAATTCAAGTTAGGGACTATGGTAACTCTTGTAGAAAACAATAGGCTAAGAGGGTGCCCATGCTGGGTTTTCTAGATCAGCAGACCCAGGATAATCAGAATGAATGACTTCTCTGTGTTGCCAATGGCCAGGGCTAGAGGCAAAATTTTTGCTTTCTTATGGAGTTAAATCTGAAATGTAGACAAAAGTGTTCATAAAATGTGGAAGCATGGATATATATATATATATATAGTCATCAAAAGACTAGCAATCTGCAAAAAAAATTGCCATTTTTGTTTTCAGACTTTGGGGACACTCTGCAAACAGATGACCACCTTATAAATTACTTTTAATATGAAATATCATTGGGGTCCCCTGGTGGCTCAGAAGATAAAGAATCCATGTGCAATGCAGGAGACACAGGTTCAATCCCTGGGTCAGAAAGTTTCTCTGCAGAAGGAAATTGCAATCTACTCCATTTTTCTTGCCTGGAGAAGTCCATGCAGAGGAGCCTGGTGGGCTACAGTCCATGGGGTAGCAAACAGTTGGACATGACTGAGCAACTAACACTTTAAAATATCCATCAGTGGGAGGAGAAGTGTTGAGGAAAGTATGATATATTCTTAGAAGTAGATTATTATACTGTGATTAAAAGACTTCTGAAAAAACTTTAAAGAACATGAGAAATTTACCTGTGTTATAATGGAAAGTGAAAAGGGGTTACCTAAGATTGGATATGCAGTGTGATCTCAATTACGTATTTTTAAAGTATGTGTGAATAAAAGACTGGAAGAAAAATACCAAAAGATTAACAACAATTGCCTCTGGGTGACAGAGTAATAGTTTTTTCCCCCCTTTGTGTATTACTTTATTTCCCATACGTTCAACAATGAGCATGAATTAATTTTATGATGAAAACAAAACAAAAGCAAGAATCAGCAGCCAGCACCACCAATTTCAGCAGAGGAGAAAGACTGAGAACGAAGGCTGATTGACTTTAATCATTAATTTGAAGGCTAAGAAAAGAAATGGATACAGAGTACCTTGGTGGGTGTCATGTAGATTTGGGATAATGAGAAAGTCTTGTTGGGGAGCAGAGTTTCTGAAACGTGTATACACATGTATACAAGCTTCCTGAATGACCTATTTCATGAATTTGAGTTTCCCCTCTCCCAATCTGCATGAGGTGTCTGTTTCAGGCATAGGGAGGAGAGGGTTGTGATGGGCATCTAGAGGGTAAGGGAAGAGCAGAGATAGTAAGCAATGCAGAAATGGAAAACTTCTTTCTGACCTTGTACTTTTACAATGAACTTGCAGCTGGCCCGGTTGTAGGCTCGGTCATAAGCAGTGTAACGAATCACGTGTTCTCCCTCTGGAAAGTGAGAGCCAGGTTCAGGGCCTCGAAGTATCAACCTACATGGGACAGGGTGAAAGAGCCACTGAGGAAAGTGACTCTTAGAACTGGGGTTTGGGGCACATCATCACTGTACCATCAACCTGTGTGGTTCAGTGTGGGCTACCTGTGAGTGCCTGGCATCTGTGACTCACCTGGTGATGGTACCATCAGCAGAATCTTTCACCAGGGGTGGGTCCCAGTATACTCGAGCAGTCAGTTTTTCCGGCTCTGCCATCTTCTCACGGGAGTGGGGACAACGGATCTTGGGGGGATCTATGTCTGCCAAGGTCAGAAATCAAGTGCTGACTCATGGGTCCCCTGTCTTCCCTGGAGGGAACCCATGAAACAATACCACACCACCGGGTAGGTAAAAGATGCAGTTCAAGATGCTCAATGAAACTTGTGAGGCCTGACTCCAAGGGAAGCGATTGCTTTGTTAAGCCTGTGCCCAGGGTGCCACCTTTTGCAGCTAGTGGGAATGCCTTCTGCAGTGGACATAATGCCAGGCTGGCCCTTTGCAGCAGGACAACTGGGAGCAACCAGCATTTACCTACACATACAGGCTCTCCTCCACTCCATCGTCCATCTTCCATGCAGATTCGGCTGCGGTCACCTTCCAAGTGGTAGCCACTGGAACAGCTGTAGTCACAGCGAGAGTCAAGAAGCACCCCATTTGTACACGTGTAGGTGCCACTCGTGATGAATGGCAATGCGTGGCATCTCATCTCTAAGAGAGAAATCAGGAGGCAAGTTCAGTGGCCTGTGGGGCTATGTGGAAGTAATGCCTAGGCATCTAGCCCAGGGAAGACCATGTCAGAGACAGCAGAAAATACAGGGAAACATATGCCCAACTGCTCTGACATTTTTGCACCTGATTGCCTCTTTGTCCTAATTTCTTTCTTATTTTCATATTATGAAGTATAATAGTACTCTTGGGGGGCGGAGGTGGAGAGATGGTCTCAAAGAAGTTACTCATCTAAGTTCATGGATTTGAGAAATGCACCTCAGTTTGGATCCCAGCTCCATCACTTAACTAGCTCTGTGACTTGAGCAAGTTACATCATCTCTCCAAGTCTCAGTGTCTCCATCACTAAAACGTGTATACCATGAAGTAGGATTGTTGTGCCAAATATAGAGACAGTGCATATAAATCTCTGGGCTTATTTAGGGCCTCATCAGCTCATAGTTTTCCTCTCTTTTTCCACAAATGCTAGATGCCCTTGAACAAATTCAAGGCTCCTTTTTAAACATAATGTTGGTGCTGCCACAAGCACTCCTCAGCTGAGGCTCACTTACATGCCCACTGGTCCTCTGTGCTGGTGAGAGTACAAGTCAGGCCAATCCCAGTTGGGGAGGGGTGGACAGCTTTGGAGGCATTTGCTTAAAGGCGAGTCCATGTGCTTTAGACATTACGTGTGCCAGAAGTGGCAACAGCTCCCATGAATTGATTGTAAATTTGTGCTTGCCAAAGTCCAGTATGAAATACCCAACACCTGAAGGAAGTAGGCCAGTCATATGTTCCTTTAGGTTGTCTAAGTTCTACCCTCCTTAACTTCATTGGAGCTTTGAATAAAGATTCTATAAACTATGTTTGTTTTTGCTTCCTGGTCAAACCAGACTTGAAGGTGATTGCCTTTTATGTTTTCCAGCCTCCTTTATATAAAAACCTAAGCAAAAATTACCTTCTTGAAATCAGGGCCAAGTAAAAAGGTCTGTCTTTCTGTTGATTTTATTTTCTTAGTATTATATGACAGTGAAAATGATAGATCCAAAGTGTTTGCCCTGTGTCTCTTATGAGGAAGTACAAAGTGAGATTCAGTGTTTAAACAGGCACAGTGGTAAAAAAAAAAAATCTGCCTGGCAATGCAAGAGACTCAAGAGGCATAGTTTTGATCCCTGGGTTGGAAAGATCCCCTGGAGAAGGAAATGGAATCCCACTCCAGTATTCTTGCCTGGGAAATTGCATGGACAGAGGAGCCTGGTAGATTATAGCTCATGGGGTCACAGAGTCGGACACAACTGAGCAACTGAGCACACATACAACACAAACTTTTAACTGGTTTCATGTTAATTTGTCAACGTATTTTAATTTTGTAAGGTCAATTCAAATTCATTTTGGAAATGATGGGGTCTAGTCCTATAACAAATGGCTTATAGTCACCTAGAGGGGTATAGTGGCTTCATTTTTTCTGGCTACGAAACTTCTCCTCTATTCCACAGCATCTTCTCCAAACAACGCCATTTCTCGCTGAATGCTCAGCATTCTACATCCCCTGACACTCCATTCACACACACACATTGGTTAGTCTAGAATCAGTCTGGTAATTAAGGAATTGGCTCTTGAAGTGGCCCCGCACACATGGGGGTTCTACAAATGGCATTCATCAATGGATGTAGGGTCAGGCAAAGCTTAGCTGCCAAAATAGGGTAGGCTGTAGGGTTTCAATAAGAGGTAGGGATTTGGGAACTGAGGTGAACATGATGTGAAATGTATGTATTAGCACCCCTGCATTCCAGCCTTAGAGGTTTTTCTTGACTTTCAGAAGAAAATGAAGACTAGCAGATGTCTTTTAGCTTCATTGCCAAGGCCTAAGACCTTAGGCCAAGAAGTATAGTAGTTTACCACAAGTGGGAAAGAGTCTGAGACTGCACATGCTTGAGAGTTCCAGAGGAAGGCCTAAGTCCACATCAGGCCCCAGGTGTAAGCTTTCCACACACTCCTGGGCCCTTTGAGACTGAGGGCTGGTTGCTACTTGCATGCGTGTGTGCTCAGTCACTAAGTCATGCCAGATTCTTTGTGACTTCATGGACTGTAGCCCGCCAGGATCCTCTGTCCATGGGATTCTCCAGGCAAGGGTACTGGAGTGGGTTGCCATTCCTTCTCCAGGGGTTCTTACAAACTGAGGGATTGAACCCATGTATCTGGCATTGGCAGGCAAGTTCTTTATTACTGAGCCACTGGGGAAGCCTGGTTGCAACTTAAAAGGCCCCTATTGTTTGATCCATTGTCACAGGGAGAGAACATGAGCTAGAATGTTAGGATGGGGAAAGGCCCCGTTGGGATCCTGTGGAAATTTTCAGTTTGTACTTGACAGAGGGCATAGTAATACCTCCACGCATATACCCTGGGTGGCTGGCTGGCTGGCTGGCCTCTTTCACATGCAGATGTCAGCCTATACATGCACACCACTTACGCCTGCAGTAGGCAGTTCCAGACCAACGGCGGCTTGGCAGGCATTGCACCGATCTCCGTCCAATCAGTCGAAAGCCCCGGTCACAGGAAAGCTCACAACGAGTGCCCAGGCTGCTGTGATAATTTCCTCCTCTTGGTGAGTAGCATGTGGCTTCACCATCCTGGATATTTAATGTATAACACCATCGGGGGACTATAGCAATAGAAGAAAAGTAAGCTATAAGTACAGTAAGCTAGAAGTACAGTAATCAAGACAGTGTTGTATTGGTGAAAGGATAGACACATATATTGATGGAGCAGAACAGAGAGCCCAGAAACACATTCACACAAATATGGCAAAATTATTTTTGACAAAGGTACAAAAACAATTTAATGGAGGAAAAATAGTCTTTTGAACAAATGATGCTGGAGCAACTGAACTTCCATAGGTAAAAAAAAAAAAAAAAAAAAAGAGGAAAAGCAAAGCAAAGAACCTCGACTTAAATGTCTGATGTGTGTGTATGGATGCTCAATCTGTAAGTCGTGTCCTACTCTGTGTGGCCCCATGGACTGTAGCCCACCAGGCTCCTCTGTCCATGGGATTTTCCAGGCAAGAATACTGGAGTGGGTTGCCATTTCCTCCTGCAGGGGAATCTTCCCAAACCAGGGATTGAACCTGCATCTCCTGTGTCTCCTGCATTGGCAGGTGGATTCTTTACCACTGAGCCACCTGGGAAGCCCATATCTCATACCTTAAACAAAAGTTAACTTAAAGTGGATCATGAACTTTAATGAAAAAGGTAAAATTATAGAACTTTTAGAAAAAAAATAGAAAAGTCTTTAAGATTTAGTACTAGGCAAAGGGCAGGTGGCACTACCAGTAAAGAACCTACCTGCCAATTGAGAGGGTAACAGGCAGGAAGGCCAGGGGTCTCCAAACAGAGGAAATAGGCTGCAAGTTTAAAATGAGGTTTCTCTTAAAAATTCTGTATTGCCATGATGACACCTGGTTCCACCTGAACTTAATTTTTCTCAAACCTTGAGCTAACCAATGCATTTTTCTTATGAAGATGTTTTTCTTAAGCTATGTTAACAAAACTATGTATTTGCATTGGAATTTGCCTTTCTTCAAAATGGTTCCACTGAAGACTTTTTTCTTTTCTCAAACCTTGGGCTGATAATAGCTCAACAAACCAGTATTCAAGTCAATTGTTTTATGGCTGAGGGATGATACACCTTGTGCCATCCTATCTGAAAAATGCATATTGTGGGAGAGGGGCCTGGTGAAACTCCCTCAGCCTTGAGGTGTCTCTCTTATCTGTTTAATAGCTTTCTAACAGATATTAAACATTCAGTTAAAGACTAGCAAGGGGGCACTCTTTCTGCCCCCTTCTGATATCTATGTCAGAAGCTTTGTCTATCTCTTTTATACTTTAATAAAACTTTGTCACACAAAAGCTCTGAGCAATCAAGCTTCATCACTGGCCCCAGATTGAATTCCTCTTTTCCAGAGGCCAAGAATCCTGGCATCTTTCACAGCTCAGCAACAACCTTTCACAATGCAGGAGACATAAGAGACACAGGTTTGATCACTGGGTCAGGAAGATCCCCTGGAGAAGGGCATAACAACCCATTGCAATATTCTTGCCTGGAGAATCCCACAGACAGAGGAGCCTGGCGGGCTACAATCCATAGGGCCACAAAGAGTCAGACATGATTGAAGTGACTTAGCATGTACACACAAAGGGGTCTTAGACATGATATCAAAAACATAGTTCATAAAATTAAAAAAAAATCTAGAAATTGAACCTTGTCAAAATTAAACCTTTTGTTATGTGGGCAGCACTGGTGATAAACGAAAGACAAACCACAAACTGGGGCTAAAAATTTGCAAACCATATATCAGACAAAGGACTAGTATCTAGAATATTTAAAGAACTTGGAAAACACAACAATAAAAATAAACAATCCAGTCAGAGCATGAGCAAAAGATATGAAAGGACACGTCACTGAAGAGGATATAGTGATGGCAAATAAGTACATGAAAATATATTTAGCATCACTAGTCATTGAAAGTGAAAGTGAAGTCACTCAGTCATGTCCGACTCTTTGCAACCCCATGGACTGTAGCCTACCAGGCTCCTCCGTCCATGGGATTCTCCAGGCATGAATACTGGAGTGGGTTGCCATTAGAGAAATGCAAATTAAGACTACAAAAAGATATCATTATATACCCATTAGGATGACTAAACCTAAAAAACTCTGGTAATACTAAGTGTTGATGAAGATGGGGGAAAACTAGAACTTTCATACATTGCTGAGATGAAGCAACTTCAGGAGATTATTTGGTAGTTTCTTAAAAGATTAAATATACAGTTGCCAGGTGACTCCACAACCCCACTTTAGTATATACCCAAGTGAAAAAGCAAGAGAGTTCCAGAAAAACATTGATTTCTGCTTTATTGACCATGCCTTTGACTGTGTGGATCACAATAAACTGCGGAAAATTCTTCAAGAGATGGGAATACCAGACCACCTGACCTGCCTCTTGAGAAATCTGTATGCAGGCCATGAAGCAACAGTTAGAACTGGACATGGAACAACAGACTGGTTCCAAATAAGGAAAGGATTACATCAAGGCTGTATATTGTCACCCTGCTTATTTAAGTTACATGCAGAGTACATCATGAGAAACGCTGGGCTGGAGGAAGCACAAGCTGGAATCAAGATTGCGGGGAGAAATATCAATAACCTCAGACATGCAGATGACACCACCCTTATGGCAGAAAGTGAAGAAGAACTAAAGGGCCTCTTGATGAAAGTGAAAGAGGAGATTGAAAACATTGGCTTAAAGCTCAACATTCAGAAAACTAAGAACATGGCATCTGGTCCCATCACCTCAGGGCAAATAGATGGGGAAACAGTGGAAACAGTGACAGACTTTATTTTGGGGGGCTCCAAAACCACTGCAGATGGTGACTGCAGCCATGAAATTAAAAGATGCTTACTCCTTGGAAGGAAAGTTATGACCAACCTAGATAGCATATTAAAAAGCAGAGAACATTACTCTGCCAACAAAGGTCTGTCTAGTCAAAGCTATGGTTTTTCCAGTAGTACTGTATGGATGTAAGAGTTGGACTATAAAGAAAGTTTAGTGCTGAAGAATTGATGCTTTTGAACTGTGGCTTTGAAGATGCTTGAGAGTCCCTTGGACTGCATGGAGATCGAACCAGTCCATCCTCAAGGAAATCAGTCCTGAATATTCATTGGAAGGACTGATGTTGAAGTTGAAACTCCAATACTTTGGCCACCTGATGTGAAGAACTGACTCATCTGAAAAGACCCTGATGCTGGGAAAGATTGGAGGTGGGAGGAGAAGGGTACGACAGAGGATGAGATGGTTGGATGGCATCACCGACTCTATGGACATGGGTTTGGGTGGACTCTGGGAGTTGGTGATGGACAGGGAGGCCTGGCATGCTGTGGTTCATGGGGTCGCAAAGAGTCGAACACAACTGAGTGACTGAACTGAACTGAACTGATGCTGGGAAAGATTGAAGGCGAGAGGAGAAGGGGGTGACAGAGGATGAAATGGTTGGATGGCATCACCGACTCAATGGACATGAGTTTGGGTAAACTTCAGGTGTTGGTGATGGACAGGGAGGCCTGGCGTGCTGCACTCCATGGGGTCGCAAAGAGTCAGACACAACTGAGTGACTGAACTGACTGAACGAAAGTGAAATAAAAATCCATGTTCATACAGAATCCTGTACACAAATGTTTCAAATATCTTATTCATAATTGTCAAATCTTGGAAACATCTCAAATATCCTTCCAAAGGTGAATGTTTAAACTAGGTGTGGTTTATCCATACATAAGAAGGCAATGCTGATACATCCAACAAGTTGGACAAATCTCCAGTGCAGTTTGTGAAATGAAAGAAGTCAGAATCAAAAGACTGCAGATTATGATTCCATGCATGTGACATTCTGGATAAGGCAGAAATATTGGGAAATATCAAAGGTTGTCAGAGATCAGGGATAGAGGTGGGGATAGCCTCAAGGGGCAGCCCTTGGCAAATTTTTGGTACTGTGGCATTGGTGACCTGACTATGCATTTGTCAAAATTCATAGAACTGTACACCAAAAAGTGAATTTTATAGGATGTACACTTATAATAATTGTTTAAAAATAACACAAAGATGTAAGCTAGAGAGAAGGAGGGACTGCATATCAAAGTAGGCTGTTTAGGAAGAAAAGTCTAATCCCAGTGCAATACTGAGCACAAAAGGTAATAAGGGTCATTAGATCATAAAAGCATCATAAAATGCCTCATTGGCTACACAAATAATGACTCTTCAATGGGTTCAGATTTGAAATGGGAACATATAAATAAGCAGAGGGCCACCTGCCCAAGGATGGGTACATGGGATGACAGAGCTTTCTTAGCCTGGGGTTGGGAAAGCTAAAGCCCCATATGAGCTCATTTGGCCCGAAATCCTAAGAGACAAAAAAAAGGGGATTTGAAAAAAGGTCACGAGGAGCCAAAGGAACAAAGAAAGTTAAAGACTCTGTTTGAGGGCAGCTGGAGAATGAAAACAGATGACAGTGAGAAAACTAGCCTTTAAGCCTCAACAGGCTTGCAGCTTCTAGTGGTATTTTTGAGCCTGTGGCTGTGACACACAGCTGCCATCTGGAGAAACCATCTCCAAATGACAGAAAGTCTCTTAAGCACTACAGTTGCAGGGCTGTTGATCATATGGTCACAACACATATGATTAAGACTTTCCATGCAAGTCTGGGACCTCAACAATCACTCCTGTTCTATTTTTCACCCATATTCAGTCAAGAAAAGTACACATAAAATTGTAATGGGTAGGATAAGCAAGCATAGTAAAAGGAAATATAAACCTCAGGGTAAATGCTGAGACAGTAATAGAGGGTCTAGCTTTTATAAATAAGCTCAGATTTGCTGGCCTGAAGTAGTACTGGCATAAAGAGAACATGTTAGATTTATGGTTTACCAGAGGCAGGGGAAGGGGGGAAGAGGGTTGTATGAAGGTGGTCAAAAGTACAAACTCTTAGTTATAAGATAAATAAGTACTAGGGATGTAATGTACAACATGATGAATATAATCGACACTGCTGTGTGTTATATATGAAAGTTGTTGAGAGTAAATCCTAAGACTTTTCATTACAAGGAAAACATTTTTTC